TCTCTCTCTCTCTCTCTCTCTCTCTCTCTCTCTCTCTCTCTCTCTCTGTCTATTTGTGCCCTCAGGCTCTGAAAGCTCTCCAGGACATGAGTCTGTCATCTCCATGCTCCCTTCCTCCTCTTTCCATGCGGCACAGCAAAGCCATCCCTGTGCAGGCATTCGAGGTTCGGCTGCACACACACACACACACACCACCTGCAAACTCATAAACACACACATTTTATTAGTGGTGGTCTCTGCAGGGCAATATATACTGTGTGTGTGTGTGTGTATATATATATATATGTGTGTGTGTGTATGTGTGTGTGTGTGTGTGTGTGTGTGTGTGTGTGTGTGTGTGTGTGTATGAGGTCAGTATTAAGGCAGGAGTGATGATCTGTTCCAAAGTGCATCAACTAAAAACTGAAAAATAAAATTGACACTTTATTGAATCAATATCTGCATTTTAGCAATTACCAAAGTGTATCCATACTTTCTCAGATACTCAATGGCTTCAAAGCCAAATTGCCCCTATTGGACATTCAGGCGCTACTCCAGTCTTTTGTCAATTTAACTATGCAATTAATCATAATCTTAAATCATTCACATCTCCTGTTTTATGAAAGGAATAGGATTCTCAGGAAAAGATTATTTTATCTTTATTTTGTGTTGATTTTAGTACGAAAGCAAACCTGAGATTTACAACGCTAAAACTCCCCCAGGTTTGATTTATTAAATGTCATAATAGCGGACTGGTGGTTTGGTTTCACAGAGGACAGACTGAACCTGAATTACAGTAAAACAGGGTGGGAAGTCATATATTCCTGCAACACGCTGCAGGACGTTTCTCAGCAGAGCTGTTATGAGACCACAGGACTGTGTAATGCATCATCAGTGGCTTTGTCGTAGTACATAGTATTTGTCTCTTTTGGTATCGTAGTCCTGAGTTCGCAAGTAAATGTGTATAACTGATGTTTAGTCTATTGGTCACAGGATTATAGTTGTTTTATTTTGAAAGTGTGCGGACAGCATAACGCAGAGACATGTAGAGAAAAGTCAGAATAATAACAAAGAGCTTCATAATAGGTGTGTAGCGGTAAAGAGAGATTATTATCAGTAGGAACACGTGGAGTATGGGGTGAGACGGAGGAAGAGGTGAATAATTTAAAAAAAATTAGCCAAGTCGGCATCCTCTGTGGTGACCTCCTTTCAGCAGCTTCCTGTTGCACAGGAACAGAAGTGTTGTTAAGATGGGGAGAAAGGTTTAAGGTGTGGAACCTGATTCAACCCACAGACACTCAAACAAAACCCCATCATGGCTTTACATGATACGCATAATAAGTATGTGAAGAACAGAAATATGTGGACTGTTATCTAAAACGACAATCAAGAGAATCAGGACATCTGTTAGCATCCAAATTCCTGCTTTTTTGTTTTGTTTTCAGATCTCTAATCTGGCTGGCTACATGTATAACTGACTTGGATGTAACTCTGTTAATGCCATAGAAGCAGCTTGTTTAGAGGGAGAGACTGCAGATGAGTCCACTACTTTCATTTTGAAGACCCCTGGTGGTCTGAGGATTTCACACGAGTTCTGTGGACACATGCACTTTTAGAAATTAGCTTTCAGTTTCTATGAGCGTGTGTTTTTTTTTTTTATGCTCCTTATCTGATCCACTTCAAGGTCAAACTGGATGTTTACCTGGCAGAGCTGACAAAGATAGGAAAGAGTCAGAAGTACACTCTGTCTGTGGACGTGGAGGGGGGACGCCTGGTGGTGATGAAGAAGGTGAAGGACAGCCAAGAGGACTGGACCACCTTCACACACGACAAAAGTGAGAATGACACAAATATTTTCTAAACTGTGAGATGAGTAATCCGTGATTGACACCCAGACAGTGAAATAACATTGTCTTGTGATCAATTGGCTTTTTAGACAGACTGAATAATGGCCACATTCTTTACATATGTAATCATTTCCGTGTGAAACGGCACCTCCTCTCCTCTCTTCCCTGATTGTTAATGTATGTCCAACGGGTTTATATTCATTTTACATGATGTTATTGGATGTGGTCTGTGTTGTGAGCAATGTGTCGGTTTTAGCTGCTGCATGAAAACTCTTTAAATGTCTCTGGACTCCAGGGCAAGAGACACGATGTATTTATGGATCCAAGAGTGTAATAACATAATTTGTCTTCATGGTGTCTGTGAGAGATGCAGTTGAGGTAAAGACATGAACAAAATATGATGATGTAATGGCAAATTCTACAATTTTTTTCTAGCCCATTTCTCCTTCCTTTACCTTGCCCGTCTTTAAACTGTCAATCTATTACTCGATATTGCTTTTTCCTCCTGGCTCTACTCTCTCCCCGTCTCTGACCTTCTGTCCTCTGTTCGTCTGTCTTTGTGTTCGTCTCAGTCCGTCAGCTGATCAAGTCTCAGCGGGTGCAGAATAAACTGGGCATTGTTTTTGAGAAGGAGAAGGAAAAGAACCAGAGGAAAGACTTCATCTTTGCTAGTGCCAAGGTCTGCGCACACACACACGCACACACACACACACACGCACACTGCCTCAAAGGAAAATTTGTAGATGTAAGAACACACAATTTCTTTACAGTTACTCAATCATTCAAAGATACAAAGACATTAATATTCAAACTAACAAATATTCTGATGTATCTCTTTTATCTGCGTATGTAATCAGACGCACACACAAATGTCATCTATGAATTCAGTTTCAATGTGATTCTCCTCAGATCTTTTCTCTTTTAATGAGGAAAATATTATGGAAAATACCAAAAAAGAGTCATCTTCCCTCAGTGCTGGAAATGAAAAAAATGTTAAGGAATAAACTCGTAATTTTTTCCAATTTAATGAAAAACACATATACTCATCGTTAGTCAGCTTTTAAGTGCTGCTACTTCCGAACAAGGTTCCCTTTTGTGGCAACTTCCACTCACTGATGTGTGTGTGTGTGTGTGTGTGTGTGTGTGTGTGTGTGTGTGTGTGTGT